GTTCGAACCTGATTGACTTACTTGCCGTGGTTGAGGATGACGGTGCAGTTGGGCCAGCAGTCGTGATTGACCAGGCAGAGATTAGGGAAAAGGCCCACCCCCACGGCCTGGAGCCCCCGCTGGTCGCTCACAGTGAAGCCGTTGCAATTAATCTGGGAGGTACAACATTGGAAAATAAAGGGGAATTGGTTATATTGGGTTGACATTTATTATTATAGTGCTTTTTGTCAGCACTCCTTTGCAATTGGCAACCACTGCTAAGTTATCACTCCATCGAGACAACCCACATCATGGACACCTTTTCTTTGTTTTTGTGTTTTGTGCCAATGCGTATACAAAACAGGTAGTCACTCACCAGTCCAAAGATGTGCGAGATGACATCACTGGTGTGCTGCTTGCTGTTGCGAGGCCAGTAGTCCAGGAAATTGTGGATGTCCACTTTGAACTCCTTCAGCTCGTCCTCTGCCATGTCTTCGATGTGGTCCTCCAGCTGGTCCAGCGTGGTCAGCTGTGTGTCTGACACCACGCCGCCGTCCTTGTCCAGGCGCCACATGATGCGAGCCACCAAGCTGCATCGAAGCGACAACGGCACTTGATTCACTTGAGTGGAACCTTGCGAGGCAAAACTGAAGGCTCTCTGTTGAGAACCATTGTGTGTTCAAACCACATCTATCCATTCATTTTCTGTAGCGCTTGACCTCATCAGGGTCACGGATGAGCTGGAACCTATCGCAGCTGACTTTGCGCCATCCACTCACAGAGCAATTATGGGAAATCAACCATTCACACTCTGATTTGTACCAATACTTAAAATAAGTCGAGGTGTTCTTAACCTACCGAATGTTCTCGTTGGGCGCCTTGCCGTAGTTTTTGATGGCGGCGCATTCTTGCTTGTGTTCGGCCCAGCCGGCCCGCTGGCAGGTGCGGTCACAGTAGTGAGAGAACTTACACTGTCCGCATCGCTGCAGTTTGTCTTGTCTGCGGAAACAGCTGTGGCAGATCCGCTCGGCAAGACTGCAAAGTATGGATGGTGTTATTATGTGTTCAAGTCAAGGTTGTTAGAGTTAACAAAAACGAGCTAAATAACTCAAAATAAAAAATAAAATAAAAATTCATTAATGAAATAGAATAAAAATGAAAATCCTTTTTAATGAATTTACATCTTAATTGTATTAAACAAATTCTAACTATAATTATAGCGTAACTTCACAAAAATTAACGTAATTATATACAGTAAATTTATATATATATATATATATATATATATA